AGATATGTATAGTAGAGCTGTTATTTGTGTTCGAACAGAAGGATGATTGACCAAAGATTTTTTTATTTTAGTTGGATTACATAAGGGGTCGGCTTTAGGCCCATATCTTTTGCTTTAGTTATGGATGCTCTTACTAGAGATTAATAGGAGGGTGTTCCTTGGTGCAAGCTTTTACCTGATATCCTTCTTGTGTATAAGACTAGAGAAAGTGCTCGCAAAAAAACTTGAATTATGGAGGTCTCCAATGAAGTCTAATGGCTTTCGTTTGAGTAGAACTAAAACTTAATACATAGAATGTAATTTTAGAAATAGTATATCTAGTTACAAAGTTATAGCTAAGGGTGATCATATTATTAAAAGATGTGAACACTTTAGATATCTTGAAATTAATTGTTCAAAGTGATGGTAACATATATGGGGTTGTTATTAGTAGAATTTAAGATGGTTCGAGCTTATTGTGTGGTAGAAGAGTACCGCTTAGACTGAAAGAAAAATTTTATAAGATGGTGGTGAGAACTACAATGCTCTATGACGTAGAATGTTGGCCTTTAAAAAAGAAGCATAAAATTAAGTTAAGTGTTGTTGAGATAAGAAAGCTTATGTGGATGAGTGGCTTTATTCTTAGAGACAAAATATGAAATAAATATATCTATGATAAGTTTGGTGTATCTCCCGTGGCAGACAAAACTAGTGGGAATCGTTTTAGATGGTTTGGTCACATTAAACGTCGATCATCTGATGCTCCGATTAAGAGAGTGAATGTTTTTTATTTGACTTATGTTAAAAAAGGTATGAGTAAACCTAGAAAGTATTGGGCTTATTGTATTAAAAATGATCTTAATTTGTTATAATTAAATAAAATGTGGCATTCAATAGAAAGAAATAGAGAACAAGGATTCATGTAGTTGACCCCATGACATGCCTAAAATATATTACTTTTATTTGCACATTTAATGGATATTTTTAAAGATATTGCATTTTAATGAAATGTATTTTTGATGTTCTTAGTTGCAGATACAATAATTGGAACAACTTGAGCAAATGGAATGAACATAGAGCAATTTGTAGTAAAAGGAAGCAACATGCCAAAGGTGACTTCACGCTTAGACACCACAAGTCAGAGAGACTAGAACATTTGGCGCCTAGGCACCAGAAGTGGTTTTCAATGTTGGTTCAATGAATGCGGATAAATTTTGAAGGGGTGCCTGAAGTGACTCTTGGTGATTTTGAGAGCTCTATTTAGAGAAACTTCAGGAGCATCCAAGGAGAGCCTTTGGGGGGGGAGAAGGCTTGGAAGTTCTTAGAGGCTTGAAGGACTTTCTTGGCGGCTTGCTTAGATTTGAAGGAGAAGAGAAGTGAGAGATATCTTCTTCACTATAGTTTTAAGTGAGATTGGAGGGAATTGTAAGGAGAGTGAGTGATTCAAAGGAGCTAAGAAGGATTGCTTGTGAAGGAGTTTGAGATAAGTTGCGTATTTTATTTGTTTTACTTAATCTTATTTTGTAAACTTATGTTCATCTTTAAATTCATGTGTTGTTGTGTCTTCCCTATGAGATCTGAGTAGTTTTCTTTATCTTTCTCCCTACAATGAAGAATAATTATGTATAGGAATAAAGTTTAGTAGAAGTGTTTTTAATTCCATAAATTGTGATGATTTAAACTCCATGCTTAATTTACTTATTGATTTGAACAATTGATTAGTAAAATATATTATGAAACATAATGACCCGAAAGGGCTATTCTTTTCTCAATAGAGTAAGAATCACATTTAATCTCATGGATGAGAATGCAGTCTATGGAATTAAGTGCAAATAAATAGGGAAATAAGTTTTGATGGATGTAAATTAGAGATTTTAGAGTGACGGACTAAAGTTCCCAATTTGATCTAGATGTTTGGAACTAAAAGCGAGATGTTAACCTTCAGGTGAAGGGTATGTGGGAATTCTAGAGCGACAACTAGTATCTTCCCAACCCAACCATGAATTTAGGAACTTAACTCTGTATTAGCTAATGTTCTTTATGCACTCGAGTGAGGGTAACGAATAGGTATGCTCTTATTTGGCACAATACCTTAATAATATTTAAAATTACTAAATTTCTACACTGATTATAAACTCATTGCAAGGGGAAGGATGTTTTATATAATTTGAACTCTTCTATACATCGTTAGTTTAAATTTCTTAGCGGTAACTTTACATTTTATTTAGCATGTTAGATTTTTTTGTGTTTAACATTTTACATAGCACTTGTATTCTGCATTTGCTTAACATACTTAACATTTCTTTAAAATTCTATAGGATTAGTTAATTCACAAAATCTTTTTACCATTTCCTAAAAAATTAATTGCAGTTTAGAGAAGATTTTTCTAAAATCATCCTTATAAGAGTTTTCCCTATCCCTATGGGATCGATACTTAGAACTCTATTAGAGTCATATATTACTTGAAATGATACATATACTTACGTAGTATTCTTAGTGTGAAGTTATTTTATCAATTTTACATAATAATTAATTTTGTACACTAGCCGCTTAATATAAATTGGGTCAAGCTTTTGACATCTTTCAGGACTTGAATAATTGTGTAATTGCTGGTTAGGTCAAATTTTTGGCGCCATTGCCGAGGATAACACGCAACTTTTAACTAGAAAAAATTTTATTTGAACTATAGATTTATTATAAAAAAATTGTAGTGTAGTTTACATACGTGCTTGTTCGTGTGCATTAAATTAAATATAATATTATTAATAATAATAAATATAAATATATTTATTATTTTAATTTGTGTGTTTTCTTATTTTTGTTATTTATCTTTAATAGTGTATGCGTAATTCAGGAACTGAAGTTTTAGTGCCTTACGATTCTGAGTTAGAGCAAACTATTAGAAAAATTAAAAATAAAAAGAACTTCACAATTTCCAAGAGATGGCAAACACTTTACATAAAAACTTAGAAAACCAAATTGATGAGAATGTAAAGACCATTAAAAGATTATGCTAACCATACGTTAGATGAAATTCATCGTAGTATTCAAACTTCTGTCGTAGAAGCTAACACATTTGAATTAAAACCTGCTATCATTCAGATGATACATAATAAATAGTTTGGGAGAACTCTATCTGAAGATCCAAACTTACATCTTGCAAGTTTTTTAGAACTTTGTTCCACATTTAAGTATAATGATGTCTCCAATGATGCTGTCAGACTTATGTTTTGTCTTTTTCCTTAAGGGATAAAGCTAAAATGTGGTTAAAATCATTAGGACCGAGATCTATTGGAATTTTGAGTGACCTAATACAGAAATTCTTGGCTAAGTATTTTTCACATTCAAAGACTATTAATCTTAGAAATGATATTATATCTTTTTTTTTTCAGTTTGAAGGGAATCAATATACGAGGCTTGAAAACACTTTGAAGAACTTCTTAGGAAGTGTCCACATCATTCTTTGCCCAATTGGTTAATAATTCAAATATTTTATAATTAATGTTAAAGCCTTTTGATGAATTTATATCATTCAATGCTGACCTCTTAGATCTATTATTGGTACTGCTGCTGATGGTTCATTACTGTTTAAGCCTTTTGATGAAGCATATTCTTTAATTGAAAAAATGACTACTAATAATTTTCAATGACCCTCTAAAAGGGTAAATCTTAAAAGAATAGTCAGTGTTCATGTTGCTACAAAATCAAGAAAGATCAATTTGGAATGAATTTATCTCAAACACCTCCAGTGATTGAAGAAAATTCATTAGGACAAATGGTGATTCTAACATTCTTACATTCGAGACTTGAAATGAAATTAACAATAAACCTAATAACCCCTATTCTAATTATTACAACCTAAATTGTAAAAAACACCCTAACTTTAACTAGAATAATAATTCTGGTGGTGCTAACCATCAATGGGAGAACAATCAAGCGAACTCATTGGGAAACTGGAACAACCAGGGTAGTACTAACAATAGACCAACTTATCTTCCAAGATTTAATAGTAACCAACAATTTAAGGAGAAGAAGTTGTCTATAGAAGAAGTGTTGTTAATATGAGTAATTAATTGCAAAGTCAAGGAGCCACAATTAGAAAAATTAAGAATAAACTGTGACAAGTTGCTAATGCACTTAGCAATAGACCTCAGGGAATTCTTCCTAGTGATACAAAAATTAATCCTAAAGACCAGAACAAAGAGCAAGTTAAGGTTGTGGAACAGAAGGTTGTGGAAGAGAATTGGAGGCTAGAGTTCAAAAATAGATTGAAGTTGAGAAAGAAGAAAAGGAAATTGAAACGTCTGAGGAAGATATTCCCCAAAACTTAGAAAAACGTATGTCTCCAATGAAGAACAATTTAAAAACGACAACTACCTCCATTTCTTCAAAGACTTCGACAACAGAAGTTAGATAAACAATTTACATGTTTTTGGAAATATTCAAGAAGTTAACTTTCATAATTTCAAGCAATATAAATTATTTGGATAAATTAAATAATCTTTTGGTATTGATCTTGAATCGAATTACTATATCTGAAGTTATGATTATTGTTTGATATAATTTATAATTATATTTTTGGCTATCAACCTTCTCCGATGAGTATTACTTGCTGTCACTTCCTTGATGTTTTTTTTTAACTAGATACAATCTACAATCTCCTCTTCTCCTTACACACATTTGATCCTAATATCTATTTGCATAGGGAGTTTAGTATTGTCTTGGATCCATCTATGATGCTAATAATTTCTCTTTTGGAGTTCGGGTCTTGGTTTTCAACCCGTTCATTATTCAGGTTGGATTTAGGCTGACCCTATTTGATTTGGATTATTTTCGAGTCACACTTGAACCTAATCCCCTAACTCGATTTAGCACCTCTAATCCCATATATTTAATTGGATATAATTTTTTGATCGAAGTAACAAATTGGGTCTTAAAAGTTTCTGCGGGCCGAATTCTAACGGATTCGGCTGGAGCCGGGATAAAAACCCCCCCCTCCAACCGGATAACGAACGTGGCCATTTATCGGCCACCCTTCAGTCCCAAAGAGAGATAGCTATCGTTGTTCATGCTCGGAAGGGTGCGGGTGCATCGTAATTGAATTCCACTTTTCCGTCAAAATCCCACCATATCGATAAGAATTGCAGCTCTCGGCAGGATGCAGTTCTTCTCACCTTCGAAATCCCAAATCAGTCTCTTTAACTCTTCCCCCATTCCAAGCTCTTGTTCTACTCCTAATGCTAATTCTAATATCTCCCGATCTCTCGCGAACGTTCCGATCAATGTTCTTGCGATCGCCCCCTTGCTAAAATTAACTCTGTTATCGTCCAAAACGTGTTCGGTATCGCCTCTACAGGAGCAGATAGTCTTGTCGGAATCCCAGGATGACAAAGATGAAGAAAGGGAAAAAGAAGATAAAGGAAAAACAAATGAACTCAAGGAGACTTTGGAGGGGTCGCATTTGTTCGTTCGAAGGCCCATCAAGGAGGATATTGACTCTAATGATAGCTTTACCAGTGGGAAAGTTGGGAAGGGTGGCTATTCTTCAACTTCAAAGCTTGATCAAGGGCTTTCTGAGTTTGCCAAAAAGATGCCCATCTTTGAACCGGAAAGGAGTGTAGCTTCTGAAGAGAGACCTCTGGGGATCAACTTGGAGTTGGGACTATACCGGGCCAAAGTTTTGTGTAGGGTTTTCCAGCTCAAGCAAGCTGAGGAGCTTCTACAGAAGGTGATATATTCAAGCTCTTAAGGGGAGTTATTTATTTATTTCCATTTTTAGGGAAAGATTGAGTACTTACATATTCGTAACACTAATATATTTGATTCTGAGTAAAGGTTGATTTAAATTTTCCTTTCAGCAACGAGGTGGAAGAAATCATATGATTCGAATAAACGTTATGTTTTGATGATTTATGCACTAAATATAAGCCTTTCATCTTTCTTATTGAAGCAGCAAAATTTATTCCTGGATTTTGATTTTAAACAGTTTACAGTAATCCCATAAAAAATCAAGCTATGCCGACTAAATGTATATTGAATAATTATAAAGAGGACCAGCAAAAAAATGAATAAATTAAACATTTACAATGATTATATTTATTCCTTTACATCTATCAACGTTTGAACTTAGAACCTTGAATTAGCTCTGCTACATTATATTCTTCGCTATAAATATGCCTGGCATTGTTGTTAGAACACCATTGATGTAATTGTTTATTACTAATTTTGAGATATGGGAGTTTGAATTATTTTATTTATTAATTTTTGCAACATGCTACTCAAGCAAGATAATTGGTCTTCCCATTTCCTCAAAAATTGTTTTATTTCAGATCATAAGTTTTAAATGCTGCTTTTTGGTTAACCTTCCAACTTAAGCTACATCAATCAGATAAATTAGCAGAAAATATTGTTTAGGAATGTGTTAGCAACGTTTATAGTTGGAGATTGGAATTGGTTGGGTGATGAAGGGCAGCTTATTTATTTATTCATTTATTTGCTGAAATTCAAACGTTTATAGTTTTGTTGTTTCACATTTTTATGGTGCAACTTTTTGGAACTTAACATTTAATAGCTTGCATTTACTTGCAGTGCATTTTTTTTTGGCCTGAAGATGGACGAGCTTACGTTGCCCTAGGAAAACTTCTATTTAAGCAGTCAAAATTTGCTGAAGCCAGGTCTGTGTATGAAAGAGGGTCTCAAGCAACACAAGGGGACAACCCTTATATTTGGCAGGTTTGTAGCTCACTTATATTCTGATTAATTTCTTAATCATATGCTGCTTTTTAGTTATCATTTTTGTGGCTTCCTAGGACATACTGTAGATCACCTTTTATCAAACACACATTTTTGAAAAGGTGCTGATGGGAACTCCCTCTAGAGGTCAAGCTGTTCTTTCTAATGTCGATGTGATGAGGCCCACATTTAGGTTAGGGTTTATTGACGAGGCTTTGTGTTGTGCATGTTCTATGAGCTTGACACATGAGGCAATGTTCAGCTCTTTTTTAGACATGCATCAAGGTTTTGATATGTCTTTAAAATGATTATGTTTGCGACAGATTATTGCACTTTTGTTGACTCAAGAATTGAGTCTTACAAAGGACGTTTTAGTCTGTAATCCTCTAAAATGGATTAAGAGTACACTGCAAACACTGTGGAGGTCGTTATCTCTGGATGGGGAAAGGATACAATTCTCTCATTCTAAATTCAGTATATTTAAAGGGCAGGGGTTTTACCGTCATCTGGAAAGTTAAAAATGGATCTTTGTGTTACAAATGAAATCCTATTATGCTAATGTTGAATTACCTGATGAACTTCTAATTAAGTAGAGTTTTGGTTTCTCAGCAACGTATCCTTAGCCTCTTCAGTAACTTGAATTACATGCATGACTGATTTGCAAGTTCTTATGTTTTTTTGCTTATCCATGGAGTGCATTGTCTCGTGAGAGCCTAGAATTCTAAAGCAGGAGAGTGGCCAGATGGGATTTAAGTGTTTACGACATACAATAATAAATTGTCTAACAAATATTTCAAAACAAATCTTCTAATAGCCTAAAGAGCCACTAAGCCATAGCTTTCATTTATCTCAAAGTAACGAAAATTACAAAAATTTAAAAGTACTACAAAATACATACTAACTTATATAATTTATTTATAAATACCTATCAAGCCTGCCTTTTGTAAACATGATCTTTTCTTTTATCCATTTAATTCAGTGAGGTTTTTTTAAAAATAATTATTACTTAATTGGTGTGAGTTATTTATAAATATATAATTCAGTGGGTAAATGATAGTTCTAATCTGTAGTAACACAAATAAAGATGAAGTGATATTCATCATTTTTAACTTGTGAAGTAATCATAGAACCTAGCTTTTTCATTTTAATACTGATTGTAAATATTGCTTTGTTGTTAGAGTTATGATTAATAAATGGATTATATCATTCAACTTAACAAAAAGAGGATACATTTGATGTTTGAAATGACCTTATCATATCACTTCTTTTTTAGTATATACTTATGTATTCATCTTAGGAGACCGTCTAAACATAAAACTAATTTGTCATTGGCCGATGCATCCCTTATCAACACAATGGGGCATAGTTTATATATTTAATATGTTATAGTGGAAAAGCACTTAACTTAATATTGGCTGATACATCTTCTATCGGCATAGTGGTGTGTAGCACTTATCATCTTCTATTGCCAATGGAAAAAGGTGAAAATCACCGACAATGTGTATGACATATTAAATATAGTACATGTGTATAACATAATGTGAATGTAGCACTTAGCATTCGTAGCTAGTATCTAAATGGGATGACACCAACTTTCAACAAATACACAAGTATTTGTTGAAATTCAGAATAATTTGGAATAAAGTGGAATGCTATATTGCTTCATTGATATGAACGAGGGTATAAATAGCCCTTACAAGAATCTTAAAAAGAAAATGATATGAAATGAAAGATATATCACCTAATATCTCCAATAATCAATTCATATTAATTATTAGGAGACACAGGAAATAACATAAAATAGGAAAACAAATAATTCCTAATCCAAAGAAATAAATATAAAATAGGAAATGAAATATTTTCTTATATTAAGGAAATAATTTATTCCTCATAGCTTCTTATAGGAATAAATTTATTCTTATTATAATTTTTAACAACCCCTCTCAAATTTGAACTGTATGTTAATAATTCATAACTTGCTGAATAGTGAAGAAAAATTGGTCATTTGGATTATCGAATTTCATTTGGATTATCGAATTTATCGAATTTGCTAGATTCAGGCTTGATTGAATTTTGAGTTTTGTTTGCCATGCATTTCGGCGTAGAGAGAGACTCAAACTTGGCTGAATTTTGCTAGATTCATGCTTGGCTGAATGTACTAGATTCAGGCTTGACTTAATTTTGAGTTTTGTCAGCCATATGTTTCAGCGTAAAAGAGAGATTCAGACTTGGTTGAATTTGATGGATTCAGGCTTGACAGAATTTTGAGTTAATAGGGAAAGATGGAAAGAGACAACCTACAGGAAAACTTACTTTTAGTTGACCGCGGTTGTCGTTGGTTGCAGAGAAAACATATAAATCACACCCAATAAATTCTGCTGACATAGAAAGCAACAGAAGAAAGGACGGCTGAAAACAGAGTTCCCTCCTGACGCTTGGGTCAGGGAAGAAAAAAATACTGCACGAGAAAGGGCAGGCTGGAAATGCAGCTCCCCTGATGCTTGTGCAGGGAATAAAAAAGACTGCAGGAGAAATGACCGGCTGGAAACGCATCTACCCCTGACGCTTGGGCAGGGAAGAAAAAAAATACTGCAGGAGAAATGACTAACGATGGATTTTGCCGGCATTGTCTGATCCACGTCAGCGATATCTCTGACGAGATGATGATGAGGCGGGTGGCAACATCGTTAGTGCAGCCTTAGCTGGAGCCCCATCATTGGTGCCAACATAGGAGGATACAACGCAGGAAGTTTTTGAATGATTTGCGGTAATGTCTGGCCAAACTCCAAAACATCTTGCTATCATGGTTTCTTGGGAGCCGTATACAGAATTGAAGTAAGATCCCATAACTTTCTGAAAGTCCTCGGAGAAGGAGAATCCTCCAAAACATCAACCTGTGCATTTCTAGGCGATGGCGGTGGCAACAAGCTTCTAGTCGGATTCGAAAAGTTAGGAGTGCGCAGATGGTTCCTCCCCATCATTTGTTGCAGTATGCTGACTGGAGGAGTCTCTGATCGCAATCTAGCATGCAAGACATTAGTCGCATTGATAGGCGGAGATGGAGTAGGAGACGTCAAGAACAGAGGCGAGGGCCGATACTCCTCAAAACTGAAGTTACCCTTCCTATGACCAGATTGCCGAGGAATTGTCATTTGCTGTCCAAAATAATCAGGTGGAGACACTCGCTGCTTCGCAACTGCATCTACAGAAGAATGTAGCGCATGATTTGCCATCGACGTAGTGGTCCAGCTATGAGGTCATTGAAAAACTTGCGCCGCCGACGGGCGCACGCCATGCTGGGGATAAGATAGTGAACGCTTGCCCTTCTCCGAATGGGAAACAGGAAAAGCCCTTATCGGATCAGCAATTGGGCTTTCGAGACGGAGAGATGGCCCAATTGACTCTCCTTTAGCGGGAATGGATAGGGATTGGAGAAGATGAACAAATCGTAGTTTCAAATATCAAGATAAGTGTCCCTCCCTTCCTGCACAAATGATGACAGTAAGGGAGTCCGACAATTCTCAAAGGAGGGCTGGTGGCTAGGGTACGAAACTTGACTTTGATACCATGTTGAAATTCAGAATAATGCAGAATAAAGTGGAATGCTATATTGTTTCATTGATATGAACGAGGGTATAAATAACCCTTACAAGAATCTTATAGTAGGAAAAATAATAAAAAGAAAATAATATGGAATGAAGGATATATCACATAATATCTCCAATAATCAATTCATATTAATTATTAGGAGATATATGAAATAACATGAAATAGGAAAATAATAATTATTAATCCAAGTAAATAAATATAAAATAGGAAAGAAAATATCTCCTTATATTAAGGAAATAATTTATTCTCATAACTTCTTATTGGAATAAATTATTTTCTATTATAATTCTTAACATTATTGCTTTATGAATCATTTTCTTCTCATTTGCTACAACATGCAATATCTATATTTGGGGAACATTGTATAAACTAGTTTGTGATTTTTTTAGGTAGTTGAGACATAACTTAGAGACATACAACTCATTCATTCTAATATGAGAAATTATTTGAATGAGAGAGATAAATTTTTGTAAGTCATTTGAGATAGAATATTTTAATAGAGTAGGGAACATAAACAACTCAATTATAAACATGTTTTTCGGAGAAAGAAATTATTACTTCAATCCAAGAATGAGATTACCCATATTAGCCTTAGCTTGTTTGATCTGATGATTAATGTTTATGTCTTTATTTATATTTGCAACTACATGTAAGAAATTCATATTAGCTTACTTAAATTCCTCTTTTAATTATATTGTCTCTTAAGTTAAAGTTTAATTTTGCTCAGCAAGCATAATATATCATTGTTACTAAGGACTTATAGCTAGCTTTACAAATTCTCATAATTATTCACTTTTAATTATTTTTTTTTAAATTTAAAATAGGACCGCTTCCAAATATATTGAAGTAACTTTACAATATAGTTCATAAAATTATAATATAAAATAATCGAAAGATTTATTAAATAGACACATGATTGAACATGTGCATTCAGACATATCTTTTTACCATAGATTCTCATATCTATTAATATGATATTCGTATGATTATATTTATAAAACGTAATTCAATTTCTAATTTAGTTATCAACTTTAACATTTTGTGTAATTTCTTTTACCATATTAGGCTCTTAACAGAACCTTTCAAACAAACAAAAAGAAAATTTATAATTGAATGCTAACTAAAATCAATTTTATCTTAAACATGAATTATAGAAACATGGGTTTAAGATTTAGCTTGCTTGGGGAGGAAAAATAAGAGAAAAAAAGGAATAAGTAATTTTCAACTCAACTCTCAAGATTTTGCAATTTCTTAAATGAATCTTTATCATCATTTCCATAAATTATGTTAATTTTCTCTCAGAAAACTTGAATTTTTATTATATCTTGCTTATGTTTCGAAACGATGAACTATAATCATATGAGTAAGATTCAACTTTTATTGAAAAAGAAGGGGAAAAATCTCGGTAATTATTCTGTCGTGAATTGACCTTGCTTGCCAATGGTGATTTCTCGACCTATCTTCTTATGCACTTGAATCTGTTATGCATGCTTAGCTGCAATTGCCCTCACATATGGCTTACTTTCTTGCTACCATTTTCATGCCCCAACAAGTTGCTCGATCTCCATTCCCTCCCTCACCCTCTCTCTCACATCCAAATTTTTGCTCGCCCCTCTTACTTGTCCTCTCTCTTTTTCTCACACCATTATTTCTTGTTTGCCTCCAATTGTTGTCACTTTTCTTAAAGAACCATAATTGAATTTTACATTAATCCAATCAAATCGGTCCAATCAAATTGACATCAAATTGATTTGTTTCCTTATTCTTGTTTCAAATTATTAGTTTGCATAAACAAAACAATAACTTATTTATTTTGAGTAGTTGGTCCAGTTTGTTCTTGACCGCTCAATTAAGATTTTAAATTGTTCATAACATTTTAATTAACTAATAATTTTAATATTAATATCTTCTAAATAAATGAATTGTATTTTGGGGCTTTACATGCAAAACAACTATTTTTGTCATTTTGTTTGAAAATGCCATCTTAGTTCTTCTCCTAGGATACAAACAAATTGTTCTGGTGATACAAGAAGAAATATTTTTTCCCTGGCTACAGTTCCAGCAGATAAGTAATGATACATCTTGAATTGATCAAATGAGTCGTAGGACTACCACTATATGTTATGAAAGCCTTTCCTCTATGTTTAAGGTCTAATCAATATGCATTTGTAAACAAAGTTTAGCCCGTTACCCATAGCATGAATACGATCTCCTTTAATTTCTTGTTAAAAACTCGCAACCATGTATTAGATAAAATTTGTTTATTAATTTTTGCACATGCTTTTTTCTGTTTAATAATATGCATTTGCTTTTTTTTATTTCTGTTTTTTTTTAATTTTTTTATCCAGTTGGTTGACATTCTTGACCAAACAGTGCTGGGCTATCCTAGAAAAAAAGGTTGGTAATGTAAGAAGGGCAAGAGAGCTTTTTGATGCGGCTACAGTAGCTGATAAGAGACATGTTGCAGCTTGGCATGGTTGGGCAATTCTGGAGATAAACCAGGGAAATCTGAATAAAGCTAGAAATCTACTTGGCAAAGGACTCAAATATTCTGGAGGGAATGAGTATATTTATCAAACACTCGCTTTGCTTGAAGCTAAAGGAAATAGATTTGAACAAGCTCGTTATTTTTTCCAGCAGGCGACTGAATATAATCCAAAAAGCTGCGCTAGTTGGCTTGTGAGTGCTACTTTTTATGCAAATTTGTCAGCATCATCATCATGATTTGTCTTATCCTTTTTATTTGGGGTTTTACTTCTGAACCTTTTTCTTTCATTCCTTTGAGGGTTACATTAAGTGTTAAACTCTATTGTATGCTAGTATTTTTTTTGTAACCAATATTATATTTAGTCTGTTTTTTTTATTTTCAATCTGTCAACAAAGTATTCCATCTACTCATTTCATTGGTTCTTCATCTTCCCTCCCTTTCACATGTAGAGATCACCAGCATCTCTTGTTTTGTATTGTTTTCAAAATTGGCAGAGTTAAATTTTGTACGGTATTTCTTGATGCAGGCATGGGCACAAGTAGAAATGCAACAAGAGAACAACCTTTTGGCTAGAAGTCTATTTGAGGTGACATTTTTATCTCCAGGTTAATCTTATGACCTTTTTTTACTCTTCGCAGTTTGTTGTTGTCTCGTGTTTATTTTTCAAATCTTTAGAGCACCGTATACATTAGGGATTATGGGCATGCCAACAAGATTATGGGGTGCTTATCGACCCAGGAGAAGCACCAGCATGCTTATCGACCCAGGAATTTGTAATTATCCTTGGCAAACAGTAGAGGATCCAACCTTCGCTTGCCAATTTTTATTTGAGCGGTGCAGTAATCATTGTGTTGTAGGCATGATGTTTATCAAAAAAAAAATTTTCTTAGCTGATTACATGGATATAAATAATGGCTATTATAATCTGCCAAGCTGATGACAATGGTTTTCTTAATTTTTGAAGATTTGCAGAATGGAACACATGGACTTAAGATGACAAACCAATCCCCACTTCAACAAATGAAACAAACGAATACACCAACTCTGGTTGAAACAGTGAAAAGATAGCCAAAGATAAACAAAAGAATGAACATCATCATTTTGGCCTCATATCAAGAGTTTGCATGTATCTGTAAATATACTAGCGTGTAATACCTAAAGATATGAAGTTTAAAGTCTCAAAACTTTGTCATTTTTTGTGGTTTGTGGCTCAAGAAAATAATCCAAACTATTTTATAAAATTTAATATTTTATACTAAACTTTTTCATATATATAT